TGTGACGACTGGTGAGCTAATTCCCGAGATGACCAGCAGGAGGCGCCGCCGGGTGAGCCTGCACGCTGATTACACTGGCGTTCGGGAATAAGGAGCCTATGATTTCTAATCCTGACTCACTGATTGGCCTTGGGGAAAATGAGTTGGGGGGAGGGTCCTAATAGAAAGGGGGTCCGGTATCTAGATACTTTCTTCCTGAAGCTAAGTGAAAAGACACAATCACTGTATCCATCCCTTCTGTAAGCGAGACTTCTGACTTCACTGGGGTTGCACCGGCTTACACTAGGCCTTAACTTTGCCCCATGCAGCCCCCCGCAGCTGTATCTTGCATCTGGCCTACCAGTCTTGGGAGGGAGCCCTCATCCTTGAAGGGCTACATGGGCCTTCTGGACACTCTGCACGGCCCATACAAGAGGGCGAGTGGCTTAATGACCACAACTTTTGCCACATAGCATCGTAGTCGCTCTGTACCAGCTACTTCTGTAGTGTCACCTTTCTGCCACCCATACCCATCCAACTCGCTGCAGACAACCGTAGAGTACTCCTTAGATCTCTAGTAGTCCATGGAGCATAGTCAGAGAGCCACTGACCTCAACTCCAAAAATCGAGGGTGGGCAATTCCCCTGTTGCCCTTTCTCCCTTCAGAGCCCCAGAGTTCTCCAGTTGACAAACTTTCCCAGAGCGTGCAGGGTCTCACAAGGGAGATCTTTGGGGCTGTATCTCTTGGGGACAAGCATGAGCAGAATGCATTATGATTCTGTACCGATAACGAGGCATCAAACCCGAGGCTGTATTTATGGGCGGACTGAGTTTTGTTGAAATGGGAAGTTGGGATTTTTGCCCCCCCTCTCCTGCTACACCGTTTGTGTGGGAAATTATTTAGCAGCAGCAGCAGCTGCATTTAACTTTCATTCGACAACGTTAATCACCTAGCTGATTTCTGATGTGTTTTTACATATCAACTCCGTCCTCTCCGCTGATACTTTTTCTGCTACATTTTTTTTTTTTTAAAAGCACTTTGGGGCTGAAATTAGATTTTACAGCACAAGCCTTTATGGATTCTAGCGTCTTGTGACCTCCTTGGCAATATCACCAAGGCAACTCTTAAAGGGGCACTAAGAAGCTGTCCTGTTTTGCTGCCCGTGCCTTGCTTCAGCGCTATCCTCCTTTCATTTCTGAAAATTTCAGGGTGTCTTAAATTAGAGACAGTTTAGAAATGAAATAAAACACTCTTACTAACCTTTCTCTGGAAGTTTTACGAATTCCCCTCAAATACACGCCCAGCTGATTGTAAACCAGGGAAAAACCAGAAACTCGCTTTCCTGCAGCAAAATGATTGAGCCGAACTATTGGGCCAGATCCTCAGCTGCGATCGGCTTTGCTCCTGTGAAGTCAACAGGTGATGCTGATTTCCACCAGCCAAGAATCTCGCCCAGCTAATGTCGCTGACGTTGAAAGACAGATGCATTGCAAGGAAAACATTCCATTGGCCTAAACAGAGCTTGCTTTCTATAGGGGCCTCTGTCTTGTCTTTTTTCCTGTGTACAACTGCTGTGGCTAAGGGCCAGTATATATATATATATATATATATATATATATATATGAAGGCTATGAAAAAAGCATACACTGCTCGCTGTGTGAGAGGAGCTGGCATATAGGGCAGTCAGGCTACTGATTTGGGGGACTCAGCTGGTGCTAGGAGTGTGGATGTGTGGCTCTCTTCTCCCTGCCTAGTGGTTAGACCATGTAAAGAGGTTGAGTTTGCAACGGCCTCTGAGCTAATTGCCTTGGGTGTTTAGCTTAAGCTGTAAAGGCTCTTATGTTTAGACCCAGAGGTTCTGTGTCGGCCCCGCAAAGCATCCTTAATTTCTGTGGTGTGCATTTAGAGATGTGATATAAGGGGGCATTCACAACACAGAGGCAGTGTCTTCCTGTTCCCTACAAACACTGCCGCGTTTACCCTTGTAGGGAAAAGTTCCCACTCCTTGTGCTTTTCTGAAGCTGGCCCTTTAAATTTGGCACCAACCCTAACCTAACCCTTGTGCAACTGGCTGCCTCTTTGCCTTGCGGCTGGTAAGCATCTGGTGTGTCTTCCCTTTCTGCGAGGAGATGGCATCTTCTCCCACAGGTGTTATTTTTCAAACATTTTTTATTTAAACAACTCCCGGAGGCGGGGGGTTGTTTCCAAGCTCTCCACAGGATGCCTATTCAGCCTACCATGGAAATAGCTATTTAATTATAAATATCTAGATTAGCCCGCTGCCTCCCCCCTCCACCATGCATTAGCTAGTCATGGTACTTTTTATTTTTTCTTAAAGCCCCAGCTCCTGGAATCATGTGATTATGTGAGAATCTCTCCTCTTTTTTTTAAAGTAGGTTTCTAGCCCTCACAGTTGTGAAGAAAAACTTGAAAACATGACTCCTAAAGGCTCAAAAGGCAAATAAAAAAATCCAGAAATACTTTTTAAAAATCTCATGACTTGTAAGACGATCTCATCATTTGGGGGTGAAGGAGGCTGGCTCATGACTTTTGAACCACGGGGGTTGGCCGCCCTGAGGCACTGCAGCACAGATGGTATGTAAATCATGCACTGATCTTCCTGCTGTAATATTTAGCAGCAGCAGGGAGTGACACTGTTCCTGTGGAATTGAGTCAGTTTCAAAAAGTAGTTTCAGGTTCCACACCTGCCCCTCAGTCCCGCTCTCAGTCCTTGTGATTTTTACAATCACGCTTTCTTTTCTTTTTCCTTTTAAACGTATTTCCCCTCCCCTCTTGTTTTACGATAGCCAGTTTCTTTTGTTGGAGGCCTATCTGACTGTACACCGGAAACTGAAACTGATTTATTGGGAAAATGGACGAAATAAAGTCTCTTTTTCTCTAATCTTTCAGTTATACTCATTTTAGGCTTTCTCTATAATTTAGCGGATTTTTTTTTTTACGTTGACACGGCCCCTTTAAGGATGAATTGAGAGCCTTAAATCTGAGAAGGTGTTCACTTCTGTGATTATTAAATAACATCCTTAAATGATAATGTAATGTCTTTGTTTCAGAGTAGCAGCCGTGTTAGTCTGTATCCGCAAAAAGAACAGGAGTACTTGTGGCACCTTAGAGACTAACAAATTTAATGTCTTTGTGTGTGCTCACCATATAAATAACATTTCTTCTTCTAGCTTAGTAATGACCCTATTTTAATGACAATAAACCTCTAGCAAGTAATTAGCTCTCCATTCTCAGCATTTATTTCCTAAAAGAGGCATCTCTGCATACTGATTTTGCTTTTCCCCCCAGGTGATTTATTTTGCAGAGCTAATTAGCAGCCCAGCTAGGAGTTCTGTTTTAGCAGTCGTACGCTCTTGGGCTTCTTCTTAAAGAAGGCAAATCATTAGCTTGATAAATATGTGTTTTATGATCATTTTTAATGACTTGATTTGGTCATGAGATGAAGCTGCTCATTCCCTCCTTACGTATCTAGTTGTGTCCAGTCCTGTGCCCAGCTGTCAAACCCTTTTCCTCCCCCCAGGGAGTTGGGACCAGAACTACCCCCCAGCTACAGGAAATTCTCCCACCAAATCCGAACGAGCAGCCCTGTGCTATCTGCTCCTCAATCCTCCATTCACAGGTGTCATCCTAGTGGAAACTACGGAGCACTCCAAGGGTTAGAAGATCAATGCCCAGTTGATTATAAAAGTTCACCAATCCATCACTGAGATTAAATGAAAGTGCATGTAGGACCTAGACAAAAACAATGCATCACAGTGCAACAATGCTTTGGAAGCAGCAGCCCAGGTTAACAGTAATGCGCATTTATAACCGTGCCTTCCATCCCAAAGGTACCTCCACACCACTGTAGTCCAGTTGCTTCTGAGGTGGAGTACAATAGCCAATCAGTGCACAGGGCCCATCCAGTTCTGATGGAAACACTCTTGTTGACTTCAGCTGGAGTTGGATCACGCCCTTCATGAGCTACTCCGAAGTGGAGGGAAAGGAAAGTTTTGGATATGGACAGCAGGGCAAACTCCTTCTCTTATAGAAAAGTGTTACGGGATCTTCAGTGCCCGCTGGTCCAGACAGTGTTTGAGGTATCATCCAAGAGACTCTCCGTGTGAACTGCATGTTCCTGTCTAAACATTTCCACTCCAGCTGGTCTGGAAGGCGTCCGCCCTCTTGCAAGAGGGACTCAACACTGGGTACAACTGGGCTAGAAGGGCCTGATCCAAAGCCCATTGATGTCCATGAAAAGACGCTCATTGGATCAGGGATGACGCTATTTGGAGCAGGGGCTTGGTTATTGGTTCAGCATATTCTGCGCATCATGAACAACTGCAAGGCTAGAAAGATCCTAAACGTGAAAGCCGGGATTCAGTGACGCAATTAAGCGTCCCCTAGCTAAGCCCATACTTAGTTAGAGGACTTAAGCGCTTTGCTAACTATGTTAAGGTGGTAATCAGAAATTCTTAGTACACTGCCGGGGGTGCAAGTCTCAGGGAGTACAAGAAATTAGGGGTCACTGTTCTCTTTTTAGGGCCCGATTCTGACAGCCTTTCTCATGCCGAGAAGCACTGTACCGCACAGGTAATAAAGGTGAGGCGTAAGGCGTTATTTAAAGGGAGGAAGGGTATGAGAATATAGAAAAAACAACCAGAACTGGGCAGACTGAGATGTTTTTCCTCCTCAGAACTCTCTTATTTCAAAACCAAGTAAGGTGATTTGGTGAATAAATACATCAGAAATAGGAGCAGGAGAGGCCCGAATGAACTCATCTGAATGGGGTTTGTTTTGCAAGCTGTGTTATAGTTGTTGTCTCCTTCAAACATAGTCCCACTGGCCAGCCAGAGGGACCCGGTTCAGTATGAGCCTCTGGTGAAAAATACCCGTGAGACAGCCTGGGAGAGTGATGTCAGTTTCCCCGTGGCACTTTCTCATTGCCGAACTGCCAAGCTGGCTGAAATTCCACCTTGATAAGACACGTTGTTTTGTCTGTTCTTTTTTTTCCACGCAGAAAGAAATGACAGAGAGGATTTGCCACTGAGACGATTTCTGCCGAGAAGTCCGTCTGTCTCCCCCGGAGCCCACTTGCAACGCGGAATGCTGGACAATCTGACTCCGAGGTCTTGCTGTGGAGATTTGAAATGCACGGAAATATGAGTACTGCTTAAGAGCCTTATTGTGCCAGGGAACAGTGTTTATATTATCCCAGTCTCCGTTACGTGGATACTTTATTTTTAGAAACCATTGGCCAGAACGGGGATAGGACAAGTGTGTGTGTGTGTGTGCGTGTGTGGGGTTAAATACGTACCCACAGATTTCATTCTCATCCCCGCGAGCCCTGATCACCTGCTTCGTTATTCCCCCTCAAGCCCATCCCCTACACACCTGGTGTGTCCTAAATTATGTGGCTCTCCTTTAATTATGGCACTGATGGCTGGAGGGTGAAATCCCTAGCTAAATGCTCCAGTGATTACATCTGCTCACTGGATTGTGACCCTATTTTACTGACAATAGACCTCTAGCAAGTAGTTGTTTTGGGGGCGGGGGCAAGGAAGGGGTTTGGATAAGGGTTCAGCTAAGATAGGGTTTTGGATAACCAGGAGTTCACTATACCAGGATTCTGGCTGCCCTGTGTGCAGGTATATGAAGAAAGCTCCTCTTGCACCATTGCACGCCTGTGCACTAGCAGCCAGGACCCGGACACTGGGAAGGAGTCGACTGACTCACTTTAGAAATGTTCCTAAAGGGGTAGAGAAGCACATGGAAAAAAGCACCAAGAATCACATTCGCCCTACACCGCCGTCCCCCTTCCTCCCTCCCCCTCCCCGCGCGTCAGCCAGGCAAAGGGGAGTGGGGGCGCGCATAACTAGCACCAAGAGAACTGATTTCCTCTCTGATCTCCAAAGGTCAAATGGAGGTGCTCGTTATCCAAATACAGAGCTGGGGGTCTAATCCCAGTTCTTGTGGATTCCTTTAGTTCTGCTGTGGAGTTTAGGCTTAATTAAAACTCCTGGGACCCTGTTTGACGTTCCAGTGAAGTCAGTAGTGTTACACCAGGGATGAATTTCACCCACGCACATCCTGGTACGTCCAGTGATGGGTCATTAAGAGCTCTTCCTTCCAAACTCGGAAGGTTGGCTACAAAGACAACTATGTAACAGGGCTGGGTGAAGTTCAGATGACGTGGTTTGCGGTAGGGAAGACAGGGGGGATTGTGGGAACCGGAGTCAATCTGACTAGAGCTGGTCAAAACTGACAGTTGACAATTTTTCACTGAACAATGGCTTGTTCCTCAAAATGGAAATTTCTATGGGAATGATTCCTCCCCTGTCCCCACCCCCAGTATCCAAAAACTGAAACACTTTGGCCAAATCCCCCCATATCTTCAGTTTTCAACTGAAGAGTTTTCAGTTTCTTGGCTCTTTAATCTAGCAGAGGTGTAACAAGATCCAACGGCTGGAAGTTGACGCTGGACATGTTCAGACTGGAAAGAAAGCATATATGTTTAACGGTGAGCGTCATTAGCCATTGGACCGGCTTACTAAGGGTTGCGGTTGGTTCTACATCACTGGCAATTCTAAATCAGGATCGGATGTCTTCCTAAAAGATCTGCCCTGGTTCAAACGAATTATTTCAGGGACGTTCTCTGGCCTGTGTGATACAGGAGGTCAGACTAGCTGATCACAGTGGTCCCCTCTGGCCTTGGAATCTGCCACTCTATTTGGGGGGTTGTTTGTTGGGGTGTTTTTTTTTTTTTACAACTCCCCCCCAAAAAAAAACTTTAAAAAAAAATGGAGATGAAAACAGGATTTTTCATGGGAACAAAAACAAAACCCCACTAGTTCTGGCTCTGTGTTGGGGGTTCAGAATCAGTGAGTCTGGAGGTTGAGCAGAGCCCCAAAACTGAAATCAAAACTCACTCAAAACTGCGGATTTTTTCATCCGATTTTTACACCATGTGAAGCTGCGAGTTCTCCTGTAACAGCACCTAAAGTGAGCCCCAGCTCCCTCAAAACCAGGCCCGGTTTCCCTGGAAAGCTTTTCAAGGGAGGCATTTCAAGGGCCTGATGCCGTGCGATGAGCATCCCCAGGCCAATCTGTGAGCATTGAGGGCTGACCCACCTCATGTTCAGGCTCCAAGTCTTTATCAAAACTCCAACAACCAGGCAGCTGCAGGCGATGGCAAGATGTGCATGAAGTTTCACACCGCTCTCATCTAGGAGTTTACAATCTAGTCGCTTCTGGTTTCAGGGCCAAATTCACGGCGGGGGCAACTCCACTGAACTGGCTGAACGTGGCCCTTTTTGGGTAAAGGTTCGTTAATGTGTTTACTGTTGCAATAAAATATCACACCACCATCCCCATCCCTACATTTCCAGTGCCACGCAATTCCCGTGGACTTCATGTGGTTAAAACCCCATGCAGCACTTTTAAACATAGTCATTTCAGTCGTGCATATCCCTTCTTCCACACCAGCTGCTGCCTCCCTACATGGACCATTTTTTCAAGGAGCAATATTTCCCCTCTTGTCCCTCAGTGAAGATACCTTCATCAGCGTGGGCTATTCTACATGGGTCTTGGAGCATGAGGTACAGGCGGCCTTGGTGACAGATGCATTCCAATCAGGCCAGTGTCCTCCCATCAGAGGAATGTTCTTCGTTTTGGAGACGCACTTTGCATGACAAACACCACATGTCGTGATATAAAGTGAAGGCAGGAAATCATAATGGGAGAAACCATCAATATTTTCGGACAAGCTCTCTCGGCTTTGAATGCCTCAGACACTGCTACTGGATGTTGTCTCCTTATCGGAATCAAATCTTGCACCTTGGAGGATCTTACCATTTAAACTCTGATGGGCTGTTAAAATCACACGTTAGAAATTCCCCGTATCATGCTTGTAATACCTACTAACGAGTGCTGTTACACTGGCCTTCGGGCAAGAGGTGAAGTGATTTCTTAGTTTTTTTGTTTGTTATATATCAAATGATCTGAGCCACAGTATAGTTAAGTTTGTGTCTTCTGGCCTTTCTCTGCAGAGGTTTTGTACGTTACATGGCGTCAATATTTATATCATGTGCTGTACTGTTTTTTTGCTTATGAAACTGAAATGTTAAAGCCAGTATTCAAGTGCTGTGCTCAAAGCACTTATTTTATTTTTTAAATCTTGTATTCCAGATGTGTAATTTTTTACAGAGAAATGAGAAAAAAACAAAAGGAGCAAAAAGGGGGGAAAGAGCCACTCCAATATTTTATGCATCAAATAAGTGATAAAATTCCAGATGTTCTCATTTTGTTACTGATTAAAGAAACATGAACAAACTGGTGTTTTTCAATTTTCACTGGTTAACGTGTGGTAGTAGGGTTATCAGAAACTGGGATAATTCTAATGGACCTGATCCAGAGGTCCTGACTCCCACTGATTTCAGTGAACCCGGCAACTCTCTGGGTCAGAAAAGCAGTATGGTAAAAAAGACTCCCAAACCACTGCCGATAATCAGCTTGGAGTATTAACTCCACTGATGGAAAATTAGTGTGTGATGCAAACAAATCACATGAGGGATCGGCTGAGAAAGGGAAGACTAAGGCTCCAGTCCTGCAAATGCTTAGGAACATGCTCAACTTTAAGCATGTGAGTAATCCCGTTGTCCTCAGTGGAACTACTCATGTGCTTAGTTACTCATGGGCGTAAACTTTTACAGGATTGTGGATTGAGAGCCTCACCTGTTTTGATCTTGATGTGAGTTTAGCAGGGGTAAGCGTTTCTGGCCCTGTGTATTATTTAAAATGAATGTACGAGACGAGGCTGGATCTGGATTTCTGTTACCTCAGTGTAAATCCAGAGCAACTCAGTGGCATTTATACAGGGGTAGCAGACCAGAGTCGAGCCTATTTTGTGTCTCTTGGAATTATCCGGACTTTTACTTACCGATCTTTTGTAAAGTACTTTGAGATCTGTGGATGCCGTCGGAAGTTAGCTCTTGGATTGTGGCTGGTGGTGAATTTTTTTTACATTACTTGTTAGCTGTATTTTTGACCATTGCTCTACTTGACGGGAGAATCTGTTAGGTGCCTCACAATGGATCCACCCCTTGTCCCAGTGAGCTCAAGAATGCATCAGAACACTGGGGGGGAAATGTCCTTTTAAAAGAAAAAGCTGGAAAGAATTGGTGCTACTTTTTCCAACGTACCAAAATTTAGGCCCTGATTGGGCTTAGCATTGCAGCCTGTGCATCGTGCCATGGAGTTCTGTGAGACGCCGCCCATTTGTAACACTCAGCCAGGGCGTGAAGCTTTGCAGGATCGGGGGGGCAAACGCTGCGTTAGCCTGACTCGCAAAGGGGCACTGAGCCTCTGCAGCGCCTGGTGACTTGGGCGGATTTCAAAGATGCTCAGAATTTCGGGAAATCGGGCCCTATGCAAAGCTTGGGGAGCAGTTTGTCTAGGTATGGAGAATAGTTTCGTTATTATTTTATTTAGCCACCAAAACCCGTTGGACAAATTCTCCTCTCAGTGACACTGGGGTAAATCTGAAGTATCGGCACTGACATCAAGAGAGCACAGTTTACCCTGGAGTAACACAGGAGAAGCTGCGTTGTTGGCTCTCAGTGAAGAGCTGTGTATTCTGTAAATACACATAGGAGAGGGAGATCTGGTATTATCGGCACATAGCTGTTTACCCGTCATTCTGGAGTTCTAATCCCTCTTGCGACCTGGATTCCCTCAACGGCACCTGGCCAGTCATAAGCTCTCTCTCTTTTTATTTTTCCCATCCCCAAATAGGGATTTGATGTACCTCCCTGTGATGGGGTATACCCAACCCTGCACCAGTAAGGAAAGGGTTAAGCAGGTGGGCCCAGGCGGCCCCACACCTGCAAAGCAAGCATGGCTTGGAGGAGGAATTCAAAAGGAGAACAGGCCAGCAGACAGTGAGGGTGAACTGTCCTGCATGCTGAGCTCCTGGGAAAGAGCATTGCAGGCACTCCTCCTGCCTGCCTGGCTATAGCGAGGGCCAAACCCGAAGGAAAGAGACTTGGGATTCCCAGAAAGTCTGAGACTTTGTCTTTGATTTCCAGGTATTTATGGGCTTTACTTTACCTGTGGGGAGAGAGGGGATGTAGGAAGCGATCCAGGCAGGCAGGAGTATAGCATTTTGGAGGGGCAGGTCTTAGCAGCTTACTCTGGGCCCTGGTTCAGAACCTGGTAGAGAGGGTGTGCCCGGGTTCCCCTGCCAACTCCTGGGGGGTGCTGAAGGCAGGATCAGACACTTAATATGGGGAATCTAGGGAAGAAAAGGCCCTGAGGACTGAAAGGCAAGACCCTGAGACCTCAACCCAGTGGGAAACTGGAGATACCCACCTAACCCAGAGAGTTACCCCATTGCTGGATTCTTTATGTACCTGGAAAGGGCCAGACATAAAACACATGACCTGGCTGGAGAGCTGAGTCGTGGAAGGGGAAGAGCCTGGCAGAAACAGAGTGGCTGTCAACTGGGGTGCTAGGTAAGAAGAGGGCCTGCCATGCCCTGCCTGACCACTGGGTGGCACCTACGGTGAGTGACCCTCTTCACACTCGCTCCCAGGAGTGTTGTTTAATATACTGTGATTGCTTGTGATTGTCTCGCTCCAGTGGCAGCTCCCAGCGACTATACGTAGTCGACTGCTATCACATAGCTAAGGCTAGAGACCTACGATTTTGCCGCTAAGGCTCACAGGTTTGAGCGTGACTTCAGCGTGGAATTCAAAGACTTCAGCGTGGAATTCACAGACTTCAGCCTGGAATTGTCCGGCTCTTTATCGCCACTGACAAAGCAGCAACGCTTCCTGGAAGTACCTCCGCTGTATATAAATATCTTCTATCTGAGGTACTTATATGTCTCCCATTCCCAGAGTATCTGAGCATCTCACCATCTTTAAGGCATTTAGTCATAAAAAGCCCTTCTGACAGAGGAGTGGTTTATGGAGCAGGAAGTGTGGATGATATTTGTATCTTCTTTTACCCTTTGCAAGACAGTAAACAGGCCAAACATGCCCTGAGAGTATCTCCCCATCCCAGCACAATAGTGGTGAGGGTCTCAGAGCAGGTTCCCAGTACTACAATTTCACTTGCGATGTGGTTTGAAGAGACTCACAACCCTCTAGCCTCCGAGTGCGAGTCTTGATCCTCTGAATGATTCATCAGCTTGGTTTCCCTTGTTATTCGACCTCTGGGGCCTGCCCACAGGGATACCTTTCTGTCAAGAGTTTCGGCTCTTTGAGCTGTGGTCAAGTGAAAAATTCTCTAAGTTATATCTGTTCTCCTGCTGGAAACAAGAACTGGTGTTGTTTGGTTTGTGCCACTTACATTCTTTAGTATTATCCTTAGGCCCCAGCCGCTGCTCACGTCAGTTGGCTATTTGGGGCAAATTCACAGGTGATATGGAAGTGGGGCTGAGTTACACATTGGTAAATAGACCTCACTTGCTCGCCGAAGGCCTGGAAAAAGGTGCAAATTACCTTATAAAGCAACTTTAGGAAGAGTAGATGTCTCCACCTTACAGAAAGGGGGAAGGGAGGCAGAGAAAGAGGTCATGACTGGCTTAAGGTCACACAACAGGTTATGACTAGAACGTAGCTCTCTAGGTCTGGTCCACACTGCCCTGCTTGGCTAGGGGATCTCAGACACCCGAGTGCGGTAATGCTTGGTGAATACCGGTGTGCTAATGGCAGCCA